CAATACGAAGCATAAATTCATTTACATAATAAATATGTCCTATGAAAGTGACAAAATAACGGTTACTATTGTCGTCGATAGCTTAGATATATTCTTATGTATTAGTGAGAGATACGATTATATAATATAAATATGTATAAACAAACGCCTGTCTGACTGTTGATCCCAAACTAGGCCGAGCCTGTACTATGGTAACCAGACTGCTGATACTTATACATGTATTTCTGAATACATACATATTGTAGATACATTGCAACTAGACACAGAAGAAATGATCGTATTCTTTACACAATTCCTTATCCTGGATGGGAAACGAACCTAAAATCTCTGCAACCTGTTGACAAAAAACACGCTATGATAACATCTTAATGTTTATAATCGGAGTCCGCAATATTTGTCTTATCATTTTAAGTGTCTAAGCAAAGTTCCGTGATAATTCCTCTCCGTGACGAAGAGCCATTGTTTAAAGTAAATACCTCAATTAAGACATCAGAAGATTATCTTAAAACCAAGTGGGTCACGACTCTACCACCAAATGAACAGATAAGACAAGTTATGAGGCCGGTGCGTCATTAGGGAATGCACGTTATAACCTCCGTGTTAAATTAGTCCGTCTGACTTTTATATGGCACCAATTTGCTTATTTTTTCTCCAAGGATATTGTCAATATCGATTGCCAGAATATTTCCGGTCGCCTTGACACATTAGCGCTATGTAGAGATGTATTTTCACTCTGAATTCTCTGTCGCTGGTATGATCAGGAGTGGTCTAATGAATTATTCGGACAAATAGTGCCTGCAGCTTTCCATCATCGTTCCACGCGTCAAAACATACAGCCTTATCATTTGGTTGCCACCATGCGCTTTCAAGGAACCATTCTTTTTTTATACAAGACAACCTCCGCACTAGGAATATATTATCCTGTGCGGAGAACTTTACAAACATTTATGGAACGGGCACAAAAAACACCCAGACTCAAAACAACAATTTGTGGATACACAAAGTGTTGTCCCAAGTTGGGATCGAACCCACAGCACTTAGTGTAGTGTGAAGCGGCGAGGTGCAGTCATTGGAACTAACCTAACTTTCACCTTAATGAAGTTTTAATCAAATTTATTCACTTACAATCACCTAGGCTGTTTAGAGGACCCTGTCACTGTGTATTCCTTGTCAAGATTTAACCATGAAGATAGTCTTTGAGAACAATAATTTAATTGTTATATTTATATTTGTGCATAACAAATGCATTATTGCACATACCTATTAAAAGCATTACGAGTAAATTTTATTGCCAACTCAAGTTCTTGGAAATTACTAGGTGCATAATGTCTTTATTATCCTTATTCTACGGCAACCAATTGTTTGTTTACCATTAAAAGAAGAGTAATTCTAGTTTTAAAAAAAACGTGCTTCACCTGCTTACACCCTTCTAGCTCCATCATCAGCCTTATCTATTAGACTCGTCCAAATGAATCATACAAACTAACCTCTTACTATCCGCCCTCGGTTTGATCCCCGTCTTTTAGGGGAGACCTGAAATCATACAGTCCGGGTATTCCCCAGAGTAGGGCGCTAGAGGCCTGCCGTTGGGCTGGTTTTTAGTGGAAACAATACATACTCCAGGTACCTGCGTCCCCAAAGAGCCTGGTGTCATCGTCAGATCAACTCTACGACGTCAAACAATTGTATTGTCATCCAAATTACATATAAGTTTTATTTCGTTACGTCAATTAGTCATTAGTTAAAATGGACTTCTAAAATTTGTTTACATAATTACAAGTTACAATAACAGCGTGCTAATAATGATGCAATTTTCGTAAAATGAATAGTTTTACCGTATTGTACGTGACACAGATCACTGTTCTAAGTTCTTTGACCTTGTTTTCAGAAGCATTATGTAGGTGAGTGTGAGGTCTCATTACCATACAATGGGACTGACACTTAGATCGATTTGAACTGCGATAACAATGTAGGACGTATTAAAATTGTCATTGGTCTTGTTTCTTGGACTATCTCGCGAGCGGATTTTCCACTTAACTGTTAAACACTTTATTTTTTGATATAAGCAATCGTCGCGTTGTCTACTGGCGTGTACACTGTACATTAGTTCGACTTAAAAAATCTTTATGTTCATAATTTAAAATTAATTAGGTAGAATTTATCTATAGATATGTTTTATTTTTATGTGTGTGTATTATATGAATAAAAATATTAAGTATGTTTATCAGAAGTCTGGTTACCATATCACGGGCGCTGCCTATGGCCGTGTGTGAGACGTGTGTCAAGTTGTAATTATTATGATTTCTTTAAAAAGGGATTATTAATTTATAAAAGGTATATTAATCATCCCTTATTACTTAAAAAAATTGAATCATCCCCATCTTGTGCAACATATTCAACGTCTGAATATAGTGAAAAAAACGCCCGAAATCGATAAAATGGATAAAACAACTTTAAGTGCTATTATTTAGGCACCTTTCACAAAGATGTTACATTTATTTCGTATCAGTATAATTAAGGATCGAGTCAATCTAAAAATAGATATTTTCTTCCTCTATAAGTATGCGTATTTATCTTTTAACGACTGCATTCAATTCATTCTACGCCATTGTACAACCGCTGCTCAGTACAATCGGTTTTTTGATACAGGAATGTATAAATGTGTATTGTTGTATTTGTTTACAACTCGCAGTGATTGTTGGCAAATGTATTTATTTAGAAAGTTAGCTGTACATAGAATATCTCGGCGTAGATAACGAGAGAACAATAGAATGTTAGTGTACATGATATTATATGGTATATAGATATATAAGACTAGCTGACCCGCGCAACTTCGTCTGCGTCTCTCAATAGTAATAAATTTTCTCCGTTTTTGAAACATTCTTCATTGGTGCTCCGCTCCTATTGGTCTTAGCGTGATGATATATAGCCTATAGCCTGCCTCGATAAATGGGCTATCTAACACTGAAAGAATTTTTCAAATCGGACCAGTAGTTCCTGAGATTAGCGCGTTGAAACAAACAAACAAACAAACAAACTCTTCAGCTTTATAATATTAGTATAGATGAGCATTTAATGGCCCTGAGAAAGTGGAGACCGGAGCGATAGCACCGCTTTACAAAAAACCGCTAATATGACATTTACAACAATCCCTCGCCCCCCCCAACTCGGTGTCAGGGGCACCTGAAGATCTAGAACGCACTCAAGTCTCTTCAGATGCAGGTGTGAATGGGTGCTGGTAGTCACCTACCATGATACGACCCGTCTGCCTGATTGCCATCTGTACTTACCGTAAAAAATATTCATTTGAAATGCTTCTTCCCTCCCGTAGTGGAGAAGAAGAAACTGTAGAAGAATCATCTATCTATCTTAACTAAATACTAAATAATAAAAGAAAAAAGACTGTCCTGCCAAAAATGATCAAATTAAATTAATTTGTTTGCAAATACATTTATAGGTTTTACAATGTATAGAATTTTCCAATGCATTTTACCACATTATTGGTGTACAAATATTTATCATTAAATGTTAAATTATTCCAATAACAATTTAAAATACAATTTTCCAGAAGAATCATCAGTGTCATCCGTCAAAAGTTATGGTGGAATAAAGAAACTTACAAATACGAACCCTGAAAACCATGTTACTCATTTTTGGCAGTACATGTAGGTAAACATTCACACCTATATACCTAAACTCAAATTCAAAATATCTTTATTTCATAAAATAGTGAAAATAGTTCGAAATCGTCTCTTATGTAGACTCTAAAGTCAACGCGCACTATAGCAACAATCTCTGTTTTGTCAAATATTTAGCAAATATGTACGTATCGAAAATCTAAAATATAATAATAGTATAATATTTTCGGACATCTAACACACAACGCCATCTAGTTTGAAACCAAGCAAAGCTTTTACTATGAATGACTGATAAAAAACTTATGTAACTTTTTTATAAATACATAATGTGGATATATAATATAATTATATGTATTTTTAGGTGCTTATGTATATATAAATACTTATGTATTGTGTGTGTTAGTAATTAGTATTATTATCACTTATTGTATATGTATTAGTTATTAAAAAATATTCTAATGTAATTAATATAAGTACTCTGGGTATATGATGTCCTATATATGCTATATTTTTCAAAAAAATTACATTTTTAATGTCTTTTGTGCATCTACAATGTTTTAGCTCTGCATCGCTCTACTTTGGTTGACTGGGAGAAAATGCCTACGGCATTAAGTCCGCCTTTGTCATTAAGTGTAAATAAATAAAAAAAATTAAAGAAAAATATTATACATAAAAAAAAACATCCAAACTCCCAAAACAAATATTTGCAGGTCATACAAACATGCCTGTGCCGATCTACAACCGCCCGTTTCCAAGGGGTTGAGCCTTATTAGAAGAGAGGGCAAACAAAATGATAGGGTAGGGGTAAACGCCCTTCACCAGGGACTTCCTTTCTAGGGTATACCCTGTTCCCCGGCTATTAGTACCCGAGACGGCGTGCGGTTTTAGTCGGTTCGAGTCCAACATTCCACCGGTAGGTGGTATCCGAGGGGATTTCCGCACGGCAAAAAAAAAAAAAAAAGGGTAAACGCCCTTAACTTGGCAACTTTAATTTTAGCCCCATTCCATCCCATTAGTTACATACAATAGATGGTAAGTCTAGGATGACAACCGGGCACAAACTTATTTATTTCTAAAATATATATTTTCCGGTCACTTGCCAACACATCGATAGGTTTTTATTAATAGCAGTAGTGCCTGGTATACTAGCATTTGATACAATTTCGCCATGTTTACGCAGTTTCATCACGGACGCAGTTTCATGACTCAACGGTCTGTGGTGGCCTGGTGTGGCAAACATCTCACTTATCTATTATCTTTATTTCCAGGAGTGCTGCTTCTAAGTGTAGCAGATATTGAGGGTGCTCGCCGAAGACCGGGAGACAACACACCGCTGATGTGGACTTTAACTGAACATTCACGATGCTGCTCACGTTGTGCAAGTCATGCCAGTAGTAAGTGCCTTTTTTATTTATAGTTCATACTAGCAGAGACCCGCGGTGTTACCCGCGTTTGTTGTTATAACCGCAACGCCGCTAGGCGAAGCTAGTCTAAAAAAAGTAGTTACTCCTTATGTCATCAGCTATCTGCCAGTGAAAGTCCCGTCGAAATCGGTCCAGCCGTTCCAAAGATTACCCGGAACAAACAGACAGACAGACAAAAATTGAAAAAAATGTTATTTTGGCATATGTACCGTGTAAACATACATATGCATTTAGTAAAAAGCGGTTCTCTTAATATTACAAACAGACACTCCAATTTTATTTATTTGTATAGATGTGTACACAGTACAGTGAAGGTTGTACCACAAATGTATCATAAATCAAGTATCATAAAACGATCTCCATATTCGCCTTCCTCTTCGCCTCTGGCTTTTTGTCAAACTAATATACTGGACTTATTTAAAAAACAATAATTAAAGGACCCGTTAGGATATAATTATATAATAATAATAATAATAACCATGGATTAGTTGCTAAGAGCCTCGACCAACATCTTCAGAGGCTCGCGTTAGGCAGTTGGATTAAGGGTCTGATGCAGAAAGCAGTTCTTCTCGATACGGCACGTATTGTGAGGAAGTTTCTGTCTCTGGAGTCCTAACCACCGATATCTTGGTCTCTGTACCCGATACCGATGGGATACTATTTTTTATATTTTTAAATGTATTTTTTTTTGTTTTTGTATATAAATATATTTAAAAATGTAATTTATATGTATAAAGAATGAAATAAAGAAATAATAATAATACACACATCTCACACAAGACAGTCTGATCCCAAACTAGGCAGAGCCTGTACTATGATAACCAGGTTGGTCATAAACATACTTAAATATTTCTATATACATACATATTATAGGCAAATTACACCCAGACATAGAATAAGTGATTGTGCTCATCACACAATTATTTGTCCTAGGTGGGAATCGAACCCACGACCTGTTCTTAATCTTCGAAGTGCAATCCAAGCATGTTATTAGCATTTAATTTCCTTTATTATACAAAATTACTTGTGTCTGTTATAGAATCTTACTGAGTCTTACTTTTCCCAAATTTATTTGGGATTGGTGCAAATAGTTTTCTTTTTTTATGGTATAAGGAGGCAAACGATCAGACGGGTCACCTGATGGTAAGCAACCACCACTGAAACCTGCTGGATACTTGCAACTCAAAAGTCGCAAGTTTGTTGCTGCCCTTGGAGTCCCTCCCGCTCGAGTCAGAGGGAGGGGGGATTTGGGGTCCGGTAACCTCACTCAGTCAGTGAAAGGCAACGAAAGAATTGCTTAAACCGGTTTTCTGTGAGGCCGTGGTATCACTCCGGTCGAGCCGGCTCATTCGTGCCGAAGCATTACTCTCCCACTCTTCCATTCTTCTTGATCAACATCCCCTTTCACGCACTCCTTCATTTCATTGCAAAATGAATTTGATTTTTCTTCAATGGCCGACCTGCTCGACGTTATTTTTCCTTGTGAATGTAATGATAATGTTTATCTCAATAAATATTTCACTTCATTTCATTTCAAAAAATCGTTCCTCACACATAGTATGAAGCGATATATATTTGGGAATTCCGAATTCATGCAAATTTGCATGCATACATATAACTAGCTTTTTATGTTGCATAGAATCCGGTCTTTACAAATATGATATGCTTCCGCCATCTTTGTTTTTAAAAGCAGACAAAAAGGGTTCTCTTCACGTATTAATATATAGATAATTATTATTATTGTTATAAGACAGTTCTCTCTCTCTGTGAAGTACAACAAGTGTGATTGCTGTCACGTTGCAGAATTCCGTTCTTCTTACGCACATAGTTTACATCCATCCCAGATAATGTCATTCATTGTCAAGATAAACCCACCGTTACAGAGAAAAAAAAGAAATGAGCTGATACAGTGCCCTAACTCGTGGCGTTCAAGTGTGGCCGTGTCGAATATCTTGTGTCATAAATTGTTTATATGGAATGTGTCGTGACCTTTTTAGGGCCCAAAATAGGTGTTAGAAATCTAGAAAATATTCAAAATACAAAAGGCTGTAATGTCAACTCAAAGAAATCATCAATATATTGGTCCCAAATTGCACTCGAGAGAAATACTTCCGGGTCACATGAAGATACCCGAAAATCTTGGCAACTAAACATACTAGTTAAGTGAATGAAATTGGCCTAATAGACAATTAAATGAATAGTCTTCAAAATGCTGTTCGGTATGCTGTACACAAACTATCGTTAGTTGGGGAGTTGAGTTAGTGATGATATTTAAAACAACATTTTAACCTCGAAATAAATGTGAATGAGTGATCAGTCAGTTGCAGTCTTCAGTTCATAAATAAACCACAACAAAGGAAACAGACATTTGCATGTCTTTTGTACTTTATTGTATGTAACCACAAATGTATGACACACTCTGAGTTACGACTCTGGTGGACAGACGCCTCTGAGGATTCTGTGAGGAATATTTAAGATAAATACGTACAGTGTAGTACAGTAATTCGTGTTGTGTAAAACAAAGGTGAGACAGCTTAAACTATTTGTGCTGTTTAAGATATGCCACTCAATTTGAACCTGCTGGAAAAAGAAGGTGCTAGAGAAAGAATTGATTATATCACTTATAATACTTTAATTTCTGATGACTGATGAAGACTTTAGGTGTTTTGATGTTCTGGTAAAAGGTGGAACCAACGTCTAGTTATGGTTCTCATAATATAAGACTATTACTCTACTTAGACCTTTCCTACGTACGAAACAACCCTATGTTTCATCCCACCTAGATTTTACAAGTCTGGCAACGGTATTTTTTTTTAAAGGTGTGCTATCAACCGAAATTACTTGCATTCCCGTTAAACCCTCCAACTTGTGTTAGGAGCGGGTTCACGTCGGTCAGGATGTGAACCCACGACCTCTTGATCGCAAGTCCAATGCCTTAACCACTAGGCTACCGCCGCTAATTTAAACATTTATGTTCGGTACCCTAACTTTTTTCATCACACTTCACTGCTCTAAGTTTTAGTTTTGGTTCTGGTAAAAAAATGCAGAATTAAAATGGCTATGTGCTCTACCGAATTGTGATGAATTTCTCTAAGTATTATCTCTAAAGAGATATAGATATTCCAAGCTTCGGTTATGAAGATCATCAGGTGAACTGAAGATGCATAACGTATGATATGTTTGTCTTATTAGACCTAAGTTGAAATTTAAATTGATCGTTTTAGGGAACTTGTAAAAACCGATTCCAAGATTCGATCAACTAGAAATAGGATAAGTAAAACAATAAAAATAAGTTTCCATACGCACAGCACACAAACTTTGAGGTTGCTATTATAATAATAATAAATTGACCCTGACTGTTAAGCCGGAGGTCGTGGATTCGATTCCCACCCAGGACAAATAATTGTGTGATGAGCACGGTCATTTGTTCTGTCTGGGTGTAATTTATCTATAATATATATGTATTTAGAAATATATAAGTATGTTTATCAGCAGTCTGGTTACCATAGTGCATGCTTTGCCTAGTTAGAGATCAGACTGAGATGTGTGAGATGTGTGGATTTATTATTATTATTATACAACTGCCCAACTTAATAATAATAATATTGTACCACATTCACACAACGCCATCTAATCCCAAACTAAGCAGAGCTTGTACTATGGGTACTAGACAACTGATATAAATACATATACCCATACTTTATTTTTGTGAATACATACATATTATGAATAGAAACACCCAGACCAAATCAAACATTAAATGTTCATGCACACAAACGTTTGACTTGAACGGGAATCGAACCCGCGACCTTTAGAATAGCAGTCCGTTACACAAACCACTACGCCATCCGGTCGTCAAAGCTATTGATATTTTATTCTCCAAATTCATTAAACTTTCAAACCCTGATCTGGGAAGGATTACGTTGTCTTTCGCAGCATCCGAGCTTATCCTAAGCATGCTCGATCGAGTTATTGTCTGGACTGCGTGCTGGCCACTACATTCATAATCTGACAGGGTTTCATCACTCTTGAATAAGATTTTGTCCGTGTGGTGACGGATTAAGAATACAGAGTGTCACCACCCCTATTCATCCCGTGGGTGTCGTAAGAGGCGACTAAGGGAGAAAACTACGCAGGACAACAACACTGCAGAGAGAAGGAAAACTTGAAACAAACCCTATACCAACCCGTCTGGCTAGCGTGGTATAGTAGGCCAAAACCTCCTTTCTAAGGAGAGGCCTATGTCCAGCAGTGGACTAGTATAGGCTGTTGATGAATACGATTTATCATATTGTGAATACAAGAACATTTGATTTTTATGTTATTTTTTAAATTTGCTCTTCTTGTATTTCCAGCTGTTTGGAGACAATGTATTGGAACTGCTGCGAGGAGCGGTTTTGCTTCGACAAGAAGATAGCCACATACAAGTAAGTACATTATATCATATTTAATGTGTGATGACGGCCAGATGGCGTAGTGGTTTGTATAACGGACTGCTACGACAAAGGTAGCGAGTTCGATTCCCGCTCGAGACAAACATTTGTGTGTATGACATTTAATGTTTGATTTGGTCTGGGTATCCCTATGTACAATATGTATGTATTTACAATAAAAATAGTATATATATGTATTTATATCAGTTGTCTAGTACACCCATAGTACAAGCTCTGCTTAGTTTGGGACTAGATGACGTTGTGTGAATGTGGTAGAATATTAAAAAAGAAACCTCTCTAAAGTGCAGTTTAGAAAATAAAAAGGTAAATTAATACGAATTTATTATAGTGAATAGAAGAAAATCACTTAAAAAAAGATTTTTTATCACTGACTGCAATGTATCCTTTCTGTATTCTTCATAAGGTGTTTTTTTTATAAATAAAAAAAAAAACGGACAGTACATACTTACCTCTAAACGAAGAATTTTAATCAAGAACTATAAAATAAATACAAATATAACTTTTTGGATATAATATTACCATTACATTGCAAAGTTAAGCAAGCCAAGCCAGGTCAGTCTATGGATGGGTGACCATTCTTAACACATTGAGACCGATATAGTACTTGGGTTGTAGGGATCTGATCGCAGTTAAATCGCATCGCAGACGTAAAACCGACCCCAACCCAGTTTGCGAAAAATGCTCGGCGAAAAATTAAATAGTTTACAAAAAACCACACGCCAACACGACATATCTTCAGACTCATCTGTCAAGGTTAATATTTAGGTTAGGTTGCCTAAACTCAGGGTCACGTCACGGAATTGGCAATACTTAACACTTTCTATATAATTTCTGCACATACCAAGTTGTCGTGATTCTTAAATTTAATACAAGTTATTTTTAAATAAAACCGAAGCCGCACATTTTGTCATCAACATCACAGTCGGCTGCAACCGTAGCAAATCATCAGAGATATTGCCCCTCTCCTAATAGCCAACCTAATCTGCCAAACCAAATCCTGGCAACGCATCTGCAACTCTTGAGTCTGTAACTTCAGCCTATTGCCATCCACTGCTGAACGAAGGCTTACCCCAAAGAGCGCCAAAATATCCGGTCTTGGGCAGTCCGCATCCATGCGCTTCCTGCCATTTTCCTCAAGTCATTGTCTTCCGCACCATACCATATTACAATCCCAAAAAAGATTGTCGTTAGGATCGTTGATTACCATTAAAAGATATCATCCAAAATTTAAAGGATGTCCAGGTAGGTGGTGTTAGTAATGGTGATGTCAGATATTTTATTCAAGATCACAGCCATAAGCAATATTGATTATAGTTACGTGGGCTTAGTGCTTCACCATTATTTATTCTTTTTTCCATTGTTGGTCAATTTTATGGCAATTAGCATACGAGTCGTAAACTGTATGTATGGAAATCTATATTATTACCTTAGCTATTTTAGTTCGCTATATATTCAAAATGGACGAAAAGAAGACTAGATTTGATAAGCTCTAGTCCAGACAAGATAATGGAATGGCCTGGAATGAAGTGAGTCTGGATTACTTCAGAAATAGAGACAGAAACTTAAGAAACAATAATAATTATAATCTTAATTACTCGTAATGCCCAGACTGCTCACGATGTATTCCCAAAATGACTTTTCTAAATTAAGAAACAATAATTTACTGAACGATCAATGAACTCATCATTGTTTATTTTTGCCTTTGTTCAAATACTTACACAAATTGGTATAGCATTTAAATGAGTTCCAAAATGACAGTATAATTTACAAACGAACAGATTCAAACCCAATGTAAACAAGTGTAATACTTGGTTTGTATATGATTCTTTTATGATAACATAACATTTCCACAAAATCTTTATTATCTTATCTGATGTTGCAAATTGAACATTTGAATCGATAGAACGCTGACTGAATAACAATGAATTTAAGCCCTTAGCTTCGAATCCTTAAAGTTGATTGTTTTTTTCTCAAAGTCATTGGACATTCAAATTTCTATTTGTGAGATTCCTATCTTCCTAGTCGCGTTCTTCTATACTGAAGGTGTTACTTCTTTGTGGAAGATTCCACTGGGTTTCTCCGTCTCAGTCTGTCTTCAGCCTGATAAGATAGAAGATATATATGCATTTGTAATTTATATATAGTCATCTGCAACTCAAGATTCAGAAGTGAATTGTTTTTATTTGAATGACATTGCAACATATAACATAACATAACATATAACATAACATAGCCTATAGGTACAGAAGATATTTGCTGTACAATTTCGTCGCAGTGTTCATTAAAAGGAGATGTTGCTCAGCATAATGCTGCACCTCTACGATACAGCGCTTATTTCCATCAACATCTCGATAGTGATATGTGCGTCTAAAACAGTCCAAATTTAAATTTGTGTTTCGAAATAATATTGGTAAACAACACGAAGATTTTTCAAAAATAGTATTTATATATCAGTGAGTGCCAATGCCAAAATTTGTGAGGAAGGAGCTTTACTAATTTTAAAATTGAATATGAAAATAAAATAATAAAATAAAAATATAAAAACCGCAAGCAGCCGTTGGATGCGGGCAACGCAGGACCGGTTGTTGTGGCAAAATTTGGGGGAGGCCCATGTCCGTAGACGTGTTTTGGCTGAGAACAATATGAGTCTTTTTTCTAATCGTAATTCATAAAAACGACTTTATTTGTTTGTTACTCGTTTATGCTATAGCTATTCCAGTATGACCATAAAATAATTTAGCAGATAAAGATCTTTCATCTAGAGTAAGGTACCATGTCAAACGGAGAAAAAATGACGCAACCGAAGCTGCCAGTAAATTAATGAAATTAGACTATCGTCACGTGTTCAAGTATACATCAAAACATCTTACGTCGAGTACATAATCACGTATACATTTTATTTGTAGTGACATAATCGTAACTACAAATAAACTGCTATTTTATTACATGTGATTGAACATAAAACATTATTACATGTATGCATAAAACGTTTGAAACACAAGTAATAACTCTGTGGGGAGTTTGATGAGTTGGTTAAAAGTAAGATACACTGATTATTATGGCCATCCTGTTTGACCAGGATTAGCCGCGTTGGATCAAAAGGTGGTAACGCATTTGTGACGGAGTTAGTCACTTCCCATCAGGTAAACCTTCTGCTACTCGTTGCTGCGACTGCGACCTCGTTGATAGAACCACAATATTTGAGACCTAAATCCAAACACTGATTTAGTAGACACTGAGTTATTTTACCCGTGTGGTGATGGATTCAGAATACGGAGTGTCACCACACCCATTCATCCCGTGGTTGTCGTAAGAGCCGACTAAGGGAGCAAACTACGCAGGACAACAGCACTGCAAAGACTTGACACAACACCTATAACAACCCTTCAGTGTGGTATAGTAGGCCAAATCTTCCTGTCCAAGGAGTGGCCTAGTAAAGGCTGTTCTAAAATTTTTTAAACTCATTGTTGTTTCTGGTTTACTAAGATCTTAGATTTGATGCGCATTACAATATTTTTAAAATAGAAGCCAGGTTCGAACTTTCAACATGACTTTCAATATTTGTTCCTACTGAAAATAGTTGTTTAACTGATAGGCTGGCCTGTTGATCTATTAGTTAGTGACCCTGACTGCTAAGCTAAAGGTCGTGGGTTCGATTACCACCCAGGACGAAGAAAGTTTAGAAATATATAGGTATGTTTATCAGCAGTCTGGTTACCATAGTACAGGCTCTGCCTGGTTTGGGATCAGACTGCCGTGTGTGAGATGTGTGTATTATTATTATTATTATATAATTATATCCTAACGGGTCCTTTAATTATTGTTTTTTAAGTAAGTCCAGTATATTCGTTCGACAAAAGCCCAAGGCGAAGAAGAAGGCGAATATGAAATATCGTTTTATGATACGTGATTTATGATACATTTGAATACAACCTTCACTGTACTGTGTACACATATGAACTATAAATAACTCACTGTGTTCTGTGTACATGTATATACATGCAAATATTGAGTTTCATTATCCTATGAATTGCATTATTCATTAAACATATAATTAAGAGTCGATGCCATTATCTATATCAATGAATATGCAACAGCACGATGACACAATGACACCTTTTCTACATTGTCATATATCTGTTTTTTCTTAACAAGGGTGTCATTCGGTTGGTATATTTTATTTATTTATTTATTCATTTAAATCTTTATGCACAAATGTGGCAAAGGCGGACTTAATTTTCGGCATTTTCTACCAGTCGACCTTAGGGCGATGCAGAGTCAAACGTGGTAGATGCACAGAAATTAAATTTTATTATTTTCCGTCTGGTCAACTTTAAATTTGAAAAAAAAAACACCATGCTTAAGGGTAAAAATCTAGCATTGCAGTCGGTGATATATTTTTTTAAATAATTATATGTAAATGGTGCTCTTGACTTTTGTATTTTTAATATATTCATTTTACAGAAATGGATAATTCAAAATATTAGTTTTCATTCCTCAATTTTCAATCCTTAGGGATGTTTTTTTTTTTGAAATTTGGAACCAAACGGGCAGTATACCAAGTAGAAAACAAATTTTATAAATAAATATAATAGCGAAGGTTTAAGTTAACAAACAAAAAATTGCAACCAAGTTAAAGGACCTCCTTCTTTTTTAAACTCCTTTAAATTGTACACCATTTTTGAATTATTTTCTGACTTTGAATTGAATCTTTTCAGACTAGAAGACAATGTGACACACACAAACGGCTACTTAAATAATGGAGCGAGCCTCGACAGCGTGGTCACGGAGCAACCAGTCAACAACAACCATCTACCACCCCGAGCCATCTTTGGGAGGGAGGTGAAAGAAGTTCCGTTACACGCTGATAAACTATACGAGGTCAGTATGTGTGGCAATGACTTATTGACGCTGATCAAAAGAATATATTACAGTTAATCTTTTACCATCATCCAAATGAAAATTATGTAAATACTATACCTACAGCGTGTACCAGAAAGTTGTGCTTTAATTATAGAAGTGTCATATGTGTTACCTATTGAAAAAAAATAGTTTGTTTCGAAAGGTGATTTTCCTACAATATTAGAATATTCATTTAAATTTCATTTGTTTTGTAAGCAGACATGTTCAGAAAAATCTGGATATTCCATTCCTTCAACAACATCTTTGGTATTACCCACACTTACATTTTGTGTTTCTCTTAAGATTCCTGAAATTGTTATGGTCCTTGAGCCAGGCGCTATAAAAATTGTCAGCTTATCATAAAGTGGTGGATTATACGTCAGCTGGTCACACGAACTTGAAACAAATATATTATTATAGGTGTTCAGTGATGTCCTTCTAACTGAAAATTTATCAGATGATAGTTAATATTATGTTGCTGTACATAAATAAAAAAGTCATGTCTTAACACTTTTTTTTCTAATTTTTAGGTATTCTCCAAGTCTCTAATATTCAGAGAAGATCACGAACTGAAAACGAAATCCACCAATTCCTTGGACGAATTAGAAACTAAATCAGAACCAGACTACTTTAGCAATAGACCTAACAGAACCAAAGTGTACTTTGAGGACGAAATAAATTCACCAGTGACTGACTTTGAAATTATGTTTAAAGACGAGCTTCTCGCCAACCACGACATGTTCAAGATCGACGAAGAAGGAGAAAGCGACCGATATAGCCAGGACACAGAAGAAGGATTGACCATGAATGTAGCTGTGAAGAAACAGGACGTTGTCAAACCTAGTACGGTGACCATTAAAGACGAATCCAAGATTACCATACCGTACCCTATTTATAAATATGAACCTCTTAGCGCTTTAACCATGCCCTCGGCCTTGTCTCTACCACGCGTTGAATCCGTCAAGGGAATCTTGCGGACGAAAGAAGATTTAACAAGAAGTAACAGCGCCAAGACTTTAGAGAGAGTCGAGAGTAACAGTAAAATATCTAGACCAGTTCTGAATAGAGTGGAGAGCTTAATTAGCATAGATCCTAATAAGATGAACAAAGTTTTAGCAAGAGTGCCACATAGAAGCGCTTCTTTCCTGAACATTCCTGACCATTTGGCTCCTGAGAAACCTCCGTTAATCAAGAGTAAATCGATGGTTGGAGTATTATTAGCCACTGACGAGCTAAAACTCGGCCAATTACCTGATACTCCTATCATAAAAAGCACGAACTTACCAAGATTCTTTGCAGAAGGTCCCGCTTTACCTGAGTACAAAGGAGAAACTTCCTTGCAGAGCATAAGGCAGAAGTCAGCTTTAATGTACCAAGAAGATTACAGCATGCCGCGGTACTACGGAACTGTGGCTAAAGCTACGGAACACACGCCGGTCCATGAGAGCAAATCGATGCCAGACCTGAGGAACCCTGTGACGTCATCGACGTCTTCTGGCAAAGTGAGTAAGAGACTGGTGAAGTTAAGGAGCAGGTTAAAGCCTTTGGTGATAAAAAAGAATTCTAACGAAAGATTGTAAGAGTAAATAAGTTCGTTGACAGTATTTGATGGTATCCATTCTCTTCTAAATGTAAATATATTTTTTGGATATTTATTGAAATCAAAAGCAAATCTTCCATCGTGTGAAAATGTTTGCGCCGTATCTATGCTCAAATTCAGAAAAAAACATTCACCTTTATGATGATTTGTATAATTAATACGGCATATTACCATTATTATGATAATATTTGTGTATATTTGAGCAAGGCGGTGTTAATTTATACTATTAAGAACTTATTAAAATACTAATTTTTGTAAATTAACGAAAATACATGAAAAAAATATTTTTTTAATTATTTCAGAGAGGCAGTCAAGTATTATGTAAAGAGTTTGAAATAATCATTTCGGAATTCGACTTGATTTCACTTGATTGTTAATTTATTTCTCTAAGCAAATTACCAATATATTATTGCTCAGAACGAAATTTGTGATTTTAAATAACAAGTATTGTAGTTTTAACATAGATTTTTAAGGTTTTAAGTAATTATATATATAATATAGAATATCCTACCTAATAGTGTTAAGTACTTAAATATTCTTATCTAGTCATTGTACATCACGTCTAAAATAAAAAACTTAAACATAAATACTATATCTAGAAATACTAATTAACAATATTTTTGTAATTAGTATTTCTAGATATAGTATTTATAGTATAATATAGTATCGGGCGGGTCTTATAGCAGTTGCATAGTGATGTAACATCTGTCGTCTCACCTACAATCTGACGGACAACTCTAGCGCCGCGCGCTCATTGGTCAAATCAAATAGCACGCGCTTCGCTGGCTTCCTGTTACACATTTTCGTCCCTTTTTACGATTATAAGAAAGAGAGAGAGAGACAAGATATGGCATCTATAACCTATCCTACTATGAAACTTCTTGACGAACTAATAAAACTTATTTTTAGTTATTTCCTCGAAGGTGTAATTTAGGCCACTGACGTAACAGGGAACAATCCTATTGCTATCAACTGGGAATCACTTTGGGAATGAAAGATAAGAAAATAGGTAGTGTGTTAAAAAGAAATGGTAGATATAAAGGAAAGATTATAAAGAATTATAAAGAAACTGTTTTTTTTTTTGTTTTAAGCCTTTTGTCGGATAATCCATACTTCCATGCTAATATAATATTATAAATGCGTGTGTGTGTCTATCTGTTTGTCTCTTTATCTATCTGTCTGTTACCTCTTCACGCTTAAACCGCTGTACGGATTCAAATAAAATTTGGTAGTTTGGTAGAGATAGTTTGAGTCCCGGGAAAGGGATTATCTCACAAATCATCCGTTAAGGTGGTGGAAATGTGTATGGGGAAACAATAATCACTGAACTGATTTAGATGAAATTTGGTATAGAGATAGTTTGATTCTTGAGAAAGGATATACTTTTTGCCGAGAAAACCAACATACACGCGGGCGGAGCCGTAGGAAAAAGTTTAGTTTTAAATAAACAGAAACATAACTTTTCACTTTTACTGACCACAGATGTGTAGAGGAACGCTACAATTGCATGGTTGTACTCTAAACACTAGCGCAATTCGAACAAACAGTAATTAACAGATCTGTGTAACGTCCATTGTTAATTTTGATAATAATGGCTAAAGATAACTTACTACTTTATATTGTACATAGCTATTGTTAAGTTTTAACGTTCCCAAAATAAATTATAGAAATTGTTTGAGTGTTTTACTTGTCACCATCATTCCTTATTCTTCAGGAATTAGGACCGAACCAAAAATTGCTTACAAAATATAATAAAAATGGTCATGTCCTTTAAAGTAAATTTACTGATTTGACTACATGGATGGCGTAGTAGTTTAAGCGGTCACCTCACCACTTACTACTGCGCTGAGTGTTGTGGGTTCGATCCCCACACGGGACATCACTTTGTGTGATCCACAGATTGTTGTTCTGAGTCTGGGTGTTATTTGTGTCCGTTTCATGTATGTTTGTTAAGTCCCACGCGACACAGGATTTATTCCTAATGCGGAGTTATCTTTTAAATAAAAAGGACTGAGCTGATTAGGGACTTTTAATTATAGGAAAGCCATGGGTCGGCTGCACTGATGTGATATCAAGGCATGATACAAATCCGATGTTCGGCATTTTTTTCACTGGTCTTCACCGACTGGGTGAAGCTTCCGGAGGTCTTCCTCTTAATGGTGGTGGGGCTTTTAAAGATTGGTAACGCTCTTTTGATTTTTTTGTCGTAAATGTTCAAGGGCGGCGGTATTCACTTAACATCAGGTAACACACTATTGATAAAAAAGATTACACGAAGTTTCTACAATCTTTTTTTTTAAGAATATTGGATTGTTTGTTTTGATTGTGTACCAAAGAATTAGGAAAATACGTATTTACCACATTCCACGCAACCTCAATTAAATACAAGCAATTAATTGTATTTTATGTTTTTTTTTTTTTTTTTTAATTATAATAGAAAGTAGCAGTAAAAAGTGGCATTAAAAAAGAACCCCTCCTTTTTGATGACTAGTCTTCTGAATGACACACGTCTCTTTAAGACTTCAAATACAATTAAAAATTAGTTTATAGTAGACTTGCAACGAATAGTATATTCGGCAGTATACCGAATACCGAATATTCGGCGAGGCCCCTGACCGAATAGCCGAATATTAGGCAAAAGTATTCGGCTGGATTTTAGCGCCAAAAACTTGTACAGACGTGAATTAAATTATGTACCTGTTTTATGTACCAATGACTTCTTAATAAATGATTATAAAATAAATGAAAACCTTACCCTTCTAAATTTTGATTACCACAATAATTCAAATACATAGAATCCTCCATTTTTCCTATTCAGAAGATGATTATGTACCTGTGTTATGCACCAATGACTACTTAAATGATTATAACAGAAATGAAAATATGAATATATACGTAATCAATCGATTTTAATTTTTCATTTTACCAATTATTTCTCAATGACAAAATATATTATTTAAGTATTCGGTATTCGGCCGAATAATATGTAGATATTCGGTATTCGGCCGAATATAATAAAAGCAGCCGAATAGGCCGAATACCGAATAGTAACCGAATATTCGTTGCAAGTCTAGTTTATAGTAAGATTAAACAAAACACAAGACAGTTTGTATGTAGAAGAGGCAACAATGAAAGGACAAAACCTATTAAAGAAGTAATAAAAATAAAAATTAAAAGACAATTATAAAAAAGCGCACAATTTTATTACGTTATCACTATTTCGTACAATATACCACTTGTGTACACAATATTAGGTAAACTCCAACGGTAAAACTTTATAAGAAATACTTAGGAAACTACAGATTCGCGCCAATTAGAAGTTTCAAACTATCACTAGTATTTAATGTTACTAGCATTAATGCTATTATTAAAATTATTTTAACAAGGCGAATCTTAAAAAGGACTAAATAAGTACAGAGAAAAGTTAGTTACTATTGTTCTAATATTCTTATTATTAATTTACAAACGAAGGGTTATTTATATTTCTAGTAAGATCACCAAATGTCTACTTATTACTAAATTAATACTATTATAATTTGTTAAAATAATATTTTACAAAATACTTTCTGAAACTGATTATTTATTTTTGCAACACATTTATTTTTTGTTATATTTATTTAAAAAAAAATGTTTATTAAACAAATTAGGAAAAAGTCATGTTTTTTGTCCTATAGTATGTGATAATGTAGTAAGTGGAGTGGCACAGATTCATATATTCCTAATAAGCTATAAATACACGCTATTTATACAGGTTTTAGCTGAAATCGAGGCCGTATTCTACCAAAAATCTATTGAAAAACCTCGTCTATATATAATGCAACTAGAAGTACTTTTCTTATAATATTTAAGAGGGTCAAAGACGAACACTTTTGTACACTTTACAATGATTTAGAATAATGCTACGCAATCCATGTGGTATTTAAATGCATTATTTATATATTACGTGTTATATTAAAAGACGCGAATTCGCTTTTATATATTTTTATAATGGCTAATAGCAAAATTTAAATAATTATTTAATAATAATTTTTTACATAACTATCATAATTATAAACACCGTCTTATTAAAATATCTTACTTATGTCAATTTTGTTTTAAATTGCCCATTGTGTTGTATAATAGATAGCGCGTGGAGCAGGCAGTAATAAAGCCACAAACGCAAGTATTTATCTGTAATAGATTTTAATGCCTATCATTTTTAATATAAATACTTCGCAATTAAAACCATAATCTCAATAAACCATCATGTTTTAGTTTGAAACTGTTGGGAAAAAGATTCAACCAACATTCTGATATCCAATTTAAGGTTTTTAGTTTTATTTTTCGCTAATCGAACAACACCGCCCAAAATATAAAATTTGCGGATGTTACATATTGAATGTTGGATAAAGCTACTTATCCCAATCAAAACTACACTTTCGCTAAATGAATACAACATTACTTATGATCCATAAACTGAACATTATAATCAAAGTCAACAATTTAGGCGGTTTTTATAGACACGTGTTATTTAAGACACAACAGGTCAGGCAGTGTTGGACAATAAGCAATGATTTTTAAAAACCAATAGATTATTTTATAGATACATTTTTATGTCGATAACATTTTTGTAAGTAAATTTATTCACAAATAGTTAATCAAACCTCCAAAATATCTTTGTAAATTATTTTCGCAAAAAAAGTTGGTCGGATCTATTCTGCCCAGTTTCCATTCTTATTGTTCTGTTCTAAAAACGCTAGTTATTTCCCATGCAGACGGTGTTATATCTCCTTAGTTAATACAACTGACTGTCTACAAAGTGCGTCACCTAGTGTAATTAGTGTTAGGAGTAGGACCCTAGCATCTAGCGACGTTAGTGGAATGAAGCCTACGCTAAAAGGCAACTTAGATTCTTTAGTACGACTAGATAAAGTGTGTACTTATTTGCTTTTGTTTATGAATAGTAAACTTCGAATTCTAAACAGAGATATCATAATCGTAGCATTTTGCCGTTTATTACGTAGTTTGAGTAGTAATTGGTATTATAGAAAAGGTATTTTAGCAAAAAAGGTAATATTCCAACATTTTGTTCGTCAAATATATTTTTTTTTTGCTTTTCAAAATTGTAGATAATATAATTATGTGACTAACATCACAATTATGTAATTAAAATATACAAAATAGTATTTTCTAAATGTCCAACTTAATTTGTTTTTAGTTGACTAAAACAGTAATGTGCATTGGTAATTTTATATTTAAGATGCCAAAAACAACATTATTTTAGTTACTTTTATTACAGAAAAATGCTGAAGTATATTCACTTTTCGGCATTACATTTAAATGAAAATGTAACATTAACTGACGATTCAATATAAGAGTTTTATTGTAATATGTGGTTGTCAAATCATAAATAACATTTAAATAATTGTTACTACTGTATTACTAGTCAAATGTACTGTTGCCTGAATAATTAATAAAATAATGCTCTACCATTTATATGTAAGGAATAATTTAAAAAATATACTAATATTAAAGTTAAAAACGGCAACTTTAAATACTGAATGTATATAAGCTACAAACCAAGGGTCATGTCGGCCTTTCAACATAATTTAAGCTAATTCTCTTAAATCCAAAAATACTAAATGTAACAATAACAGCAAACTAACCCTGAATCTGACTAATGATCGCTATGTTTTAAATACATCGAAATGTCCCTGTGCATAGTAAACAGCATATATGTTTTTTAATAGTCAATAAAAAAGTGATAAAAGATATTTAAAAAAAAATAGTTGAGCTATTTTATTTATAACAAATAAGTAAAAACAGCAAATAACAGTTCACATTCTAACTAAAACTTACTAGAAATTTAGTGTTTAGGTCATCATGTCTGAGGTCGCATTATGAAGAAATTTAACAATAAATGGGGAGCTATGCCTAAATCATTTGATTTATTTTCTATTTTATAGTTATTACTCAAGGTTTAGACTGAATATGGTAGAATATTGATAAAAGATCTTTAAGTTCTTGTCCGGTGTTACACAAATCTAAGGAATTTATTAGTACTAGCAAGTATTATTAAATTTCTCAGACTCTTCCAGGTGTGTGTCGTGTAAGAAAATAATTTCTAACTTGATCTTTTTCAGATACTGTTACATCTTTATTACTAGGTTACAAAAGAAACGAAGAAATAAATAAAGATTGGAAATTGGCAAGTGCTGTACAAACGTCAGGGATAATCTTGATTTAAAAGATTTTTTTTTAATTTTTGAGTCAGTATCCATAAAGGCAAACTCTATACCAACCCGTCTGGCCAACGTGGTATAGTGGGCCAAAACCTCCTTTCTAAGGTGAGGCCTTTGTCCAGCATTGGACTATTAAAGGCTGTTGATGTGATGTGATAAAGGCATGATCAGATGATAGACAGAGCCCTTTAGCCCTTATAAGTTGTTTCATTAATAACAGACTTCTCGTGGAATACTAATTTACTCTCTATAGATTAACATAAAAAAGCAAATGCAAACAAAAAATCGAAATCTAAATCGACACATCGAAATCAAAATTACTGGTTATCAACTCGGTGGAGACGGCGATTACTGTATTAAAGAAATGATAAAAACACCACAGTGATTGTTATTCTCTTATAATGGTGGTATAATTTAAGGAGTTCGATACCCTATAAAACTAATTTATTAAGGGGATTTCCTGATGGTGGGATTCCATTATCTGTTTTAAACATATATTTTCTTATTAAAGGCGTAAAATTGCACAATGTGTTCAATTAGTATCTTTTTATGGGCCTAAATTGTTTTGGAAATCAATTATTTTTTGCTGGTAGCTGTGGTGAAACTGAGGTCTCCGTTAGCCTCATTCACTTGCGGTGAGTCCTTATTTTACAACTACTGTGTGTAACCAAAGGCGAGTGTTAGTAAAACTTTAGATCAAGTTGTACCTAAGTTAGAAACGAGGAAAATGGGATTCTATTGTTTCTGATTGGCTCGGTTCAGAACAGAGAGTTTGAGTATATCGTTCTACCACATCCAGTCTAACAGCTAAGATTTAAACAGGGTTAGGTGAACAGAATTACAGATACGACTTATAATTTTATTGTCTAATCACTTCCGACGCCCGATGTGTTCTATTATACCTATATTACTCACTATATTATACTTAGATATTAAAACCTGTTAATACTGTTGAAGAAAGACACTTATATGTGTTAATTTTGTTCGTAACAGGTTCCTATGAAAGAGAATTTATTTGTTCCAGTGTAAAATCGTCAACGGACATGTCACAACAGGTTTTTTTTATTTTATATTATTATTGTTTAATATTTCTGCAGGAAAACTAGGCCTTGATAAATACATAAATAAGCGTAATTTACAAAAGTAATTCAAATTGAAAAAGTATTATATTTTTATACTATTCATTAAATAAAATAATTTAAAAAAATAGTATACTGATAACTTCTTTTGCATATGAGATTTTTTTTGTTCTACAATAACATTCTTTTTTTTTAAGTTTCGGTGTCACGTTATTAAACATAAAAATGATATATTTTAATAATCTTACATAATTATATTTTAAAATAAATCTCACTACAGCGATATTAATATTATTTTAAATTAAAACAAAATACTTGTACTTCTTTTGGTAAATCGTTTATTTTTATTTAATATTTTTAATTACCTTGAAATGGAACTTAAAATTTTATATAAAATTTACATGTATATCTTGCAAATATGTTTATTTTGTTTATTAGTATACGTGGAATATCTTAGAGAGAATAAAATCTATTTCTTTTTATGGTAAAATAACACAGGAACTTCAATAATTTTATAATAAAATAAAAACAATAAAAAAAGACAATTTCATTTATTCCTAATAAAAATACGTGAGGCATGAAACAAGAAGACTCGATTGACACCAAAACCGGCGGAGGCTTCCCCTCCCCCCGGTTTTACCTCACACTCTTGAAGCGCTTGACCTTGATGGTGGCCTTGTTCGCGCACAGCTTGAGCGCGGTGGCGGCGCCCACCAGGTCGGCGCCGGCCACGTCCCTCCCGTCCACCGCCATCAGGAAGTCGCCCTTCTGGATACGGCCGTCCAGCTCTGCCGGGGACCCTGGCAGCTGAACGACAAAATATATATACTGAATACACCGTTCTGGACAGCTTATGATAAAGAATATATGAAGGGAAAATGCCTGCGGGAACAGTCGTCTCTCTTTTCTGGGGTCGGGTGCCTAAAAAAACCCCCTAGTATTGTTTTCATCTATCGTCGCACAAAACGCGGTTTAAGATACTATTTTTTCACTCGGTGAATGAATTTGGAGGTTTCTCAATGGAGTGAATTAGATGTTTAAACCAAAGTGATCATCACCCATTTCCAGCGTTCAAAAGTACGCGTAACATTTAGTGATGGAAGACGGACTCTGTTAGTTGTATAATAATAGTAATTTCAAATAATCCTGAAATCCATCTGGATCATCTGATCCAGATGTAAATGTTATTACTGCCAAATGTACATGAAATGAAATGTTATTTGCCTACATCCCCTCCTTTGACGGGTTCGTCAAGTGTATATCCCTGGTAGTTATCCAACTAGTTTTTGGAGTATTGTCAAACAATTATTAAATGATCAATTTTTTCCCAGAATTATTTTCTATTTTTAAATAGATTTTCATCACAGAATATCAGGTGTAAATTCTAATTACTACCAGATGTAAAGAAGAAAGATCATTAGGTAAGAGCCTTAGTTGAATTAGTTGGGTATCAAAAGGAGAAGAAGAATATGATTCTGGCAGATCGAGTTTCTGACAAATACTTACAAATTCTCCTAAATATACTCCAGGAGCTTGAACAGGAGCTATGCAAGTGAGGCCGAGGGCTTTGCCTGCCTTCCTCGTGAGGTCAACTTCAATTTCTTCATACTTTATAGGGTCAGGACGATGTACTGTCATTTTTAACTGTTAAGATAAAATGAGAACATATTAGCAACACAATACTACACTACATTTTTAAGTTTCCTTCGAACAGAAGGAAGAAAAAATGCAGAATTTACTTCTGTAAGTAATATTTTCTGACTGCAATGCAACCGGTATGAAAAAACTTTGGACGCAGTAAAGATTTTTTTGTCAAGAATCCTCAACCTTTATTGTTATGGGACTAATCCCACATATTATATTCCGATGACTGTAACTATGTTCCAGGATCAACTATAACGACCCACTGATATACAGAACATGAAACTCGGCTAGTGTCGGGGAAAGTCAAACAGACTGATCTTATTCAGAAATAACTCAAAAATATTCAAAGATTTAGAATTATTGTAAATCTATTTTCCTCGGTAGCAAAACAAGAAACAAAACAACAAAAATAGGCAAATTTGGGAAAAAAGTGAACCAACTGACCAACTTTATGGGTTCTTAGGTATTTTATGTTTGATACTAATTATATGTCTAACAGAAATATCACACTATATATAAACATTGACATTTTAAAATTTATTTGTTAAAAAATATGGCTTACGAGACTCACCTTTGCAGTTTTCTGTTTAATACTAAGACAGAGTCTTTCATGAACCATCTCTTTAGTGATAACAATGCCGTTACAATCTAAGATCTGATCTCCGACCTTCAGTCTACCGTCCTTCTCTATGACACCGCCTTTGTAAATATCGAGAATTATTCCTGATGCACCCTGCAAGTTTAAATTTTATAGATCAGTTAAGCTTTTGTTGCTTGTAGTTGAAATGTTTTTAAATGCCTATATGTTGGCATACACACGTACAACTATTCAGATATTTTTTAAATATAAATACCCCTCACAAAAGTATGACATAATTTAAATAATTTGAATTCTAATTTTACAAGCGTTAAGTGGGGTTCGTACATTGACATACTTGTTTGCATTTCAGCTAAGGGGAATTTTTGGCATTAAGGCCTCAAAAGGATTTCCAGAACATTCTCTACATTATTTTATAGACTGTGTCTAGTTAGAATATATTCTCTTACTCGAAGAAAAGTTTCTCTTGGCAACGTGTAACATCATTACCACCATCAACAATCTTTTATAGTCCACTGCTAGACATAGACATCTCCTTAGAAAAGAGGTTTTGGCCTATTACGAGTATAGCACGCTGGCCAGACGGGTTGGTATAAAGTTTGTATCAAGTGTTCCTTCTCTTTTTGCAGTGCTGTTGTCCTGCGTATGCTTCCTTAGTCGGCTCTTACGATACCCAAGGGAATTAATAAAGGTAGTCATAATCTGTATTCTTAATCCGTTACCACACGGGTGGACATGTTCAAATAGGGCAGAAAGTGAGTACACTTACATTAATGAGAGTATCACTGCCTCCTAATAGTTTGAATCCAAGAACTTCGTTAGCAGAGTTGATCTCTATCACAGTGTCCTTGTTGGGCTCCACAGGCGCGGTGGCCGGATCGGGCGGCGGCTCCGCTGTCACCACAAACCATAGTTACACAAATTCTATGTGAGTTAAAGAAGCAGCTCCTAACACCGTACCTGACTGACCTATGCAACAGTTAATTATTGCGGTGATCTGTTTTAAAGTTGAGTAAAAGAATCTACATAAGTATCATACAGAAAACCTTCCGAAAGTACATGCAGTGGTATCTGAAAGTAGTAGCAATTCGCTCTGTACTTTTTTTATAACTCGGTTACTGCAAGAAAAATTTATTGTCAAGTCTGTCGGTCTAGTGGTTAGTGACCCTGAGTACTGAACCAAAGTTCATGGGTTCAATTTCCATCCGGGACAAATAAAAAATAGATCTGTAGTTTTTATAATTTTAGAAATCATATAAGTTAAGTTTATTAGCAGTCTGGTTATCATAGTACAGGGTCTTCTCAGCTTGCCGTGTGTCTGGTGTTTTTAGTTATTACTGTTTTTCAATTGATGCTCTGCCAAAAAAATTCTGAAGGGATTTCTGGGATAACTGCAAGATCTCGTTCGAATTTAAACTTTGTGTTGAAGCATCTTTACTATGTTGTATGATTTTCGTGATTTTCTTTGAGATCTTGCTCTGGGTACCCATTCTACTGATAAACGCATTAAATGGCCACTCTCAAGGGTTTGAGTCTGTTCTCATTCATCTCGTTGTATCCAAAAGCATGGTCGAGTGTTACCTTTGACAGGCGAGGGCACAGGGCGCGGCGTCTGCGGGCGCGCGCCCTCCGCGTTCCTGCTCGCCGGCCGGGACGGGGCTCCTGGACAATTGCGACAATACAATATAAACTATCTATATAGTCACAAAATACTGCACTAAATAATGGTCGAAGAGCCCAAGGTTTGGTCCTTCACCCGTCAACTTGAACTTTAGACAGAAGAAAAATACTGGCGAGCAGAACTGGGTTCAAGTCAACCGGGTTCACCTCATGAAATATTGCAATAAATACTGGTGGAAGAACCTTTGTCATTTTATAAAAGCTGAAAGATTTTAGGTTTAAGAACTTAACTGAAGATTCAAAAAAATAATATATATTCAGTAACATTCTTTGTTGAAGTCATTGGTGCATGCCGATTACATGTATATCTTAGAAGTCATTACTAAAATGATAGTGATGTCGTCACGGAAGATCATTTACGTACCTGGGGTGCCGGGACTGGTGGCTCCTGCGGGAGACTCGTCCCCTTTGTCATCCTTGAGGTTCGGAGTACACACGGTGAGGATTACTACTCCTTCAGTCTGCTTTAACTTCGCTGCCGCCTAAAAACATAACAGAATAATTAACATAGTATTATGAAGTAATATTTAACTTCGTCCTAATGACAAACTAGTCGCTACAATGCGAGGGGATGTTCTCTCTTCTCACCTCAGACCTCTTCTGAATTCAAATCGCGCGAAAACTATTAACAGTATAGAATAGAGTTGTTTTAACCCTTTTATGGCTAGAACCAAGTTCTCAAAAATAAGAACTCGATTCAAAGTAAGTACAACAAAAACAATCGCATTAATATATTCATATTTCACAGACTATGTATTGAATCTAAAGGTATACTCACTGCATCGTAACTGCAATTGAGCAAGGAGTCTCTGTTGACAGCCAACAGCATATCACCAATTTGCAAACCACCCTGAAAAGTAAAGAAAAGAAAAAGTAACGGATTGTTTTTAACTTGTCTTATCTTGTCTGCTCAAATATCTCGTTAAAATTATGTTTTGTCTCAATGAAGAGTTTTTCTGAAACAACGGTTGGTACAAAATCACAGTGAAGTTGGTTTAAAACCAGTTTGTAACTTCAGGTGTCTTATTATACTCTCAACTTTCAAATGTGAAAATGTCTGTGATGACAAAACTTCTAAATTATAATAGAATACAAATTCTTTTTTTTTCACGCCTGAAGGAGGGGTGATGGTAACTATCGCCACCCATGGATACCTGCATACCAAGAGCTACAACTGCGATCTTTCTGTGATATGCCCGTCTCTCTAGAGTAAGGGGGAGGAGAGTTTAGGCTCCGGTAACCTCAATGGTCGGTGGCAAGCAATGAAACGTATCGTAATCACTTCTGTCAAGCCGGCCCATATGTGACGAAGCTTGGCCCTCCCACGTAAACGAACTAGTTTGACTTTTATTAACATTACGGTTAGAGGGATAGGAATTTCTGGCGATAGCCAATTTAAATTACAGGTGTATGATCCTGAGGTACTCAGGCTATTCATCAACAGCCTTTAGTAGTCCACTGCTGGCCATAGACCTCTTCTTAGAAAGGAGGTTTTGGCCTACTTTTACCACGTTGGCCAGACGGGTTGGTATAGGGCTTGTATTGCTCCGACAGCTTGCTCCAAAGCTGGTCGGCGCTGCGTCTGCCCTAGGGCGACTTTTGCCCAATATGGGTGGACCCAGCGTCGCGACAAGACGGCTGTACACGGGGGTTGTCCGGTCAATGGCACTGTACGGTGCACCGGTGTGGGCGGCGGCTCTGACCGCCCAGAATAGGGTACGCCTCTGGCGCCCTCAGAGGGTAATGGCGGTCAGAGCCATACGCGGTTACCGCACCGTTTCGACGGAGGTGGCATGCGCGTTGGCCGGAACTCCCCCGTGGGATTTGGCTGACTCCCGGGCGGAGAGCGGATTTCGCCCTCCGCCCGAGGATGTGCGCGAGTGGCGCGAAGCCGCTCGCCGAGCCACGATGGCTCGTTGGTTGTTCCGGCTGGAGACTCCACGCGCTGGCTTCGCCGCCGTGGAGGCTCTCCAGCCGGTCATCGCCGAGTGGGCAGGGCGGCAGCACGGGACCCTTTCCTTCCGGCTGACGCAGGTGCTTTCCGGGCACGGTTGCTTCGGAAAGTACCTGCACTCGGTCGCTAGGAGGGAACTGAGTCCCGCCTGCCACCACTGCGACTGCAGTGAGGACTCGGCCCAGCACACGCTGGCGGTCTGCCCCGCATGGGCGGCGCAGCGCCGGGCCCTCACTGCAGTCATCGGAGTGGATCTCTCGCTACCGGCCGTAGTACGCTCCATGGCCGGTAGCGACAGTTGTTTTACCGCGGTCGCAACCTTCTGCGAGGTAGTAATCTTGCGGAAGGAGGCGGCGGAGAGGGCCCGGGAGGACGACCTCCACTCGGACCCGATCCGCCGCCGGCGAACCGGGCGGCTGAGGCCCGCCTATCACCGCCTCATGCCGCCCTGAGTGTGGCCGCGAGTGGACGGGGTGGGGTTCCCCTCCGCCCGCATTAATTTGGCCAGCCGCGAGGGGGCGGCGTCCGCGTGTGCCTAAAGAGAGGAAAATATATTGAGACGGAGCCCGCACTAGGAGCGGGCTGGCGCTATGAGGGGTCCGGATGTCTTAACAACAGCTGTTCCCGGATCCCTCCTGTTACAGGCGTAGAGTGGCACACCGTGTGGTTTTAGTCGGTCCGAGTCCGACACACCACCCCGCCGCAAACCCCGGAGGGGTGACGGTCCGAGGGGATTTCCACACGTTAAAAAAAAAAAAAAAAGGGCTTGTATTGCTCCCTTAGTGTGCTCTTACGTCATCCAATGGATGAATAAGGGTGGCAACACTCCGTCATCTTAATCTGTCACCACACCACCATTGTTAACGCTTTAATACTGACGCGGCCTAAGCGCCGTCTCCTGTAACCAATTTATTTACTTTTCATCATATCCCTAATTGTCCCATATATTAAACATAGCGGTTGACGGCCATAGGTTCGCCATCTACTCCATAAGTGGGACTAAAATTATAGTTTACAAATAAGTGTATGTATGTATATTTTACTTGTATAGTTTGTTCCTAGAATCTGTAGTTATCTGACCTGTTCAGCAGCGCTTCCTTCTTGAAGGTCTGATACGAAGATACCCCGGCCGGCTTCTGTGTGCCGGCCTTCTATGATCATAATGCCGAGACCAGATGGACCCTGAAAACATTTGAGGATTATGTATACACTTACATGATTGATTAATGTTTTTTTTATAACTAGATACATCTAACATACAGAATTTTGATCCCAAATTCGACAGAGTCTGTGCTATGTAACCAGACTGCTGATAACATTATTATGTATTTCCAAATACATATTATAGATGAATTATACCACGTCGAATCCGGGACCTCTGGCTTAGCAGGCGGGATTATCAACCACTAGATCAAGAAGCCAATCATCCTTGTGTGCCGAAGACTTTACATCCTATTGCAATGTTTGTCTAAACATCAGAAGGCCGTTTCTTGTAATAGAAGTTCGGTCACAATTCAGTTCCGATCAACTTTCGATACTGTCATAAAAGGTAGTTTCGTAGTAAAGTATTAAACATCCATCGTTGACTGTAATGTGATTATATCGTATTGTAATCGAAAATTGAATCGGTAATGTAGTGTTAGTTTACTTTTTATTACGAAAATACCTTTTCTGGTAGTTGTGAGATCGAGAGCTGATTGGAACTGCATTGTGACCGAACTTTTATTATGTGAATTCACCTTCAGGTTGAACTCTGAACAGTCAAAGACTTAGCCATTTTAAAGGGTTGGATATACATAAATACGGGTAGATTTACACAGGCTGTCTGGCAATACGTTAGACTTATTACGTAGCTTAGTCAGAAGATACCCCCTTTGTGCTAAAGGGACATTAGACAATGTACAAAATGATCATAAAAAACACAGGTCTGTTACCTTTTTGACAGTGATGTCTCTGACGCCTTTGTACCCAGCGAACCGCTCTTCCGAGGACTGCAACAAATATTTCACATTTAAATTGTTAGAAGGGAATACTTAATTAGGTACACTTTATTTCAAACTTATCGCTGTTAGAAACTTATCTATATTAGGAGACCCGTGTGACAGATTACCAGCCTCCAGTCATGTGGAGTCAGGTAAGTACCTTATGGAATAGGGAATACTATCTAAATATAAGTATTTACGAGTTCAAAGTACTCATTATTGGGTTTTAATTGTATGCATATGTGTGGATCTAAAATTAACCAAATTTTCACTTAAGACCTTAGAACGTCTCGACAGAAATAAACGATATGCATAATACTGTTGAATAGAATATTTAACTTACATATAAAATGTTAAATTTGAGACGCCAAGGTTATTGACACCGTTAAATTTGATGTTCGAAAACAGGTGATTTAAGTATTATTCACATTGTTTCACCTATTGTATTCGTTTTGCTGACTTTAATTACAATATTATCCACATATAATTTTGATTCAAACATTATATAATCTATCATAATTTGCCTGTTTTTTCCTAAGTCTGTTTTGAATCGGTGTCGTTTTACACCAAGTCACAGAGTAGAACAGTTATTTACAAAAAGGAGAAGATTATTCGGTTTTAGCATGTGTTTCATATTAATTTGTTACCCTAGAATTCTGTCATTTATAAAGCTGTTAAGAAATTATTTTGTTTTAATTGAGAGGTTTATCCTTTGCGTCTGGTCCCATTGTAACGGTGGAGAAATAAATAAGCACTGAAAAATTTAGTTTGTTACAATTTATTTTGATTTATCATAGGATATATTTTTATCGGTTACAATACAAACATTTGCAGCGGAAGCAGTAAATATAATATAATAATATATAATATAATATTCACACGGCCGTCTGATCCCAAACTAGGCAGAGCCTGTACTATAGTAACCAGACTGCTGATAAACATACTTATATATTTCTAAATATATACATATTATAGATAGAGTACTCCCAGATACAGAACAAATGACCGTACTCATAACACAATTATTTGTTCTGAGTGGGAATCGAACCCACGACCTCTGGCGTAGCAGTCAGGGTCACTAACCACTAGACCAACGGGCCAGTCAAAGAAATAAAAAACAATACAGTAAATAAAGTAAAGTAAATAATAAAGTATTGTTAATCAATAGTTGTGTAATTATTTTGACACGATATAAACAAGGGCTCGTTCACAAAGTCAATGCTGTTTACAATTGCATTGAAATATGAATGACAATACATCAATATTACTAGAAGAAAGGGTTTATATTAGTCTATTTAAAGCTTTCAGGTGGCTAGAAGTTATTTAACGTCAAATTTTGACCATTAAACAGAAGAAGAAGAGAAGTTTATTTACTGAAATGGGACAAGAAAAAGCAGAAGTATTGTAAGCAGTCATGCTATAGAACATGCTTAATTCTCTGTGGTATATTACCCTTCCACGATGATTTTGCTGTAAAAAATAAACATTGATAATGTCAGTTGTTATAAAATAAAATAAAAACTAGAGTGGTCGCTGGTACTTTTGTTATCTTCTGAAAATAAATGCTTGTGTTTGAATACGTCTTTTGCAATGAACCACCTTTTGAATATATTTTGACATACTACTTAAATAGTTTCATTTTATTAAAAACTAGCTGAGACCCGCGGTGTAACCCGCGTTTGTTGTTATAACCGCGGGCAACGCCGCGGGGTGAAGCTAAGTAAAAAAAGTAGCCTAAGTTACTCCTTATGTCATCAGCTGTCTGCCAGTGAAAGTCCCGTCGAAATCGGTCCAGCCGTTCCAGAGATTACCCGGAACAAACAGACAGACAAAAATAAAAAAAAATGATATTTTGGCATATGTACCGTGTAAACATACATATGCATTTAGTAAAAAGAGGTTATTTTAATATTACAAACAGACTCCAATTTTATTTATTTGTATAGATAAACGCACACATCTCAGACTTTACCCTGTACTGTGGTACAGTTATGTTATTATACAACCACATTATAACAATACATCGTGGTACCTAGACTGTTGATGAGTATACTTATATATTTCTAATTACACACATATATATATCGTAGATAAATTACAAATGATAGTGATCACCACACAATGATTTGTCCTGGGTGTTAATCAATGGGGAACAGGACAGGACAGGTCTTTATACATATTATTATATACTATCTACTACTTTCTATTTATTTATTTTACGAGTCATTTGTACTTTAAGGCTTATTTAAAGCTTTCTTCTTGTTTTCATGCAACCTGTGCGACTGATTTAGTGAAAAGGGACGAAAGAGTGTAACACGAAGCTGGGGAAGGGAAACGAGGCGCTATTTTATTTGACCAATAAGCGTTCGTTGTCAGAGTTGATTTGAATTGATGTTACACAGCATATGCGACTACTGCGGGCTCGCTCGTTTTCTTTTCAATAAAATATTCTTCGTAATAAATACATTGCACTCTAGCTGTGAATGAAATCCGAAAGAAAATAGTTTTTTTTCTGGTGAAATCCCTTCGGATCTCCGGCTTCTTGGCGATGCCCCCGACGGGGCTGATCTGTACGAGCCATGTGTTTCCACGAAACATTATCCAACCTTCTCTAAAGAGGGCCATGTGATTTCAGACCAATCCAAACCAAGACAAATCGACGTCGTGCCTAGCCAGGCCATATCCCGGGGACAGATGCAAACCAATCAGGCCAATGTGAAAGAAAATAGCCGAAACGTTTTTGTATGGCGTTTAGATGTTTGAACAGAAAGCAACGTATTTAGAAATCAAATCGTGAACCAAACGTATGTGTAGGAATTATATTTCAGACTTCAGGGATATATGTGTATTGAATGTTTATTGAAATCACAACAGAAAGTAAGTATTTTCTTTACATATTAGAGTACGATATTTCTTGTAAGCATCTATTTTGACTGCACGGATGGCGTAGTGGTTTAAGCGGTCACCTCGCCGCTTCCTACTGCGCTGAGTGTTGTGGGTTCAAACCCCACATGGGACTACACTTTGTGTGATTCACAAATTGTTGTTCTGAGTCTGGGTGTTCTTTGTGTCCGTTTAATGTATGTTTGTAAAGTCCCCCGCGACACAGGATATATTGCTAGTGCGGGAGCTGTCTCAAAAAAAAAAAGATTTAATAATATTTGACATAGTACTCGTATGTTGAAAGCAAATAGAGCGTGCCATTGTTGATACAAGTGCAATTATTGTAATTTACGTACATGTGTTCCTTTTTATACAACTAAGTTTGCAAACAGGTAGTTACTGTAGTTGTAGGTGATCAAATAGACCTCTAAAAAATCATTCACATAAGTGTGTGAGTGTGTGTGTTGAGTATTTAAATAAGTAATATATTTATCTAATTTATTGAAAATTTGTGGAAAACATTATAATTATCGTGCCCTTATTCGCACTGTGTTCACTGGTTTCTCTTAGGGTGGAGAGTATGGACACCAGACCTGCAATTTTCTCACAGTTTTATTTTCTATGATTTCAAAAATATGTTGAGATTTTCATTGCGTTGTATTTTTATGTTCGTTACTAAGATGTCGGCCATTTATGAAACGATTTTGGCAAATTCTTTTTATTTGGGTGGTTATTCTTTCTGTGTTCTTATTCAAATTCAAAATCATTATGTGTAATAGAAGTATGCAGTTTCTCAAGTTTTAGGCGTATTTATGATGATACTTTTTCTAAACTTAATCATTTCGTGCAGCGTAACCAGGATGGACAAGATCCGAAATGAGCGCATACGAGGAAGCCTGGTAGAGCGCAACGTAGCGGAGAAGGAGCTAGAGCGTAGTATAAAATGGTATGGCCACGTCAGGGACAGGGTAAAGTGGCAGAAGTATACGAAGACGGCTGAGTGGTACGAATAGTCGGGAAGAGAGAGAGAACAAATGTTACAAGAAAAGACAACTTGTATGCGTAGCAGATGTTCTTATAGTGTGTGTGAACTTCTTGTCCACAAAGTTTTTACCAATGACGTCAGAAGCCAATTTATTTATCTATGACGCTCTTGTATCTTACGGAGAACATGACTTACAATTGTTCGTTTAATCCAGAAATAGCAACAACAATAAACTAGCCAGACAAGAATGGGTATTTTATACATTATGTTTAATCTGTATTCTAAATCCGACAGTACAATATATACTTGATTTTGGTAGTAGATAGCGCTTTTTTATTTGCGTCACAATACTAGTTAAATGTTTAGATTTGCCGGCAACTGACTTGACTTCCACTTGTCTCGTAGTTTAAGAACTATTTGTTTACATTTTTTATTGAGTATGCGTTGTTACATCGTAATTCTATAAACACGAGATTTATGGCTTGGGGGATTATTTAACCTTAAATATTTAAAGTGAAAATCACAACTTAGTTTTTTTGAACAAGCTTTTATAGTCACCAAAACATAGCAAATGAGCCCAAACTCTAATTTGTTTAGTTCAAGTTCCTATGGCTGTTTTCAAGGTCCATTAACAGCTCCATGGTATCATATTATTGTATTGCCACTCAAGATACATATAATATACGAGTATACATCAAATCAGAGCCCAATCGGACGTCGGGAAGTGGTTCTAATATGACTTCCAAGATTCGTGATAAACATTCATACAAACATTACAAGTTAAATAAAAGCTGTAATTTGAAACGTGGCGTATATAAATAATAGTCATATTAAAAAAAACGAGACACTAGATCTACGGTGCGCGAACGCCGACAACACCCGTTTGCAGTGCCGCTGGCGCGCACTAACCTGTGTCGGTATGCACCCCTGTCACCAGCACTAAGGTATATTAATGAAATCGTGTCATTTAGCCCATCAATAGATTTATTCTTATGCAGCGAGGGAGCGTTTCTCAAGGCAGCAGGGTGTTGCATGGAGACGTTGACAGTTGCCAGTACTGTACAGATTAATTGATGGCTACCCTAACAGTGACTTGGTGCACATGATGTTATTCTTTATTATTGATGTTATTTTTTATTATTAATGCTATCTTCTCGTTTTATATTGTGTACGGGTTTTGTTTTACCAAATGTTGTCATTTGTTTTGTGTTGAATTTATTACGTTTGTGTCCGAATATGTACTGTTTTTTACAATTTTATACTATGCTGATGAATTCTTATTGCAATGTTACCTACTTTCTGTTTTACGACTTGAATGCTTTTTATTTTACAATGTAATGATACTGTAAGTCCATAATCACTTTCTGCGCATGGATTGTTCTGTTAGCATTAAGGTGTCTGTAAATAATAATGAATAAATAAATAAATAAAAACAGAGATTGGATGACTGTGATGACCTAAGTGAAATATCAGAATAGTCATACATACATTTCAATTGGTATTGCAGGACCTACTATAGAGCAGTCTGTCGTCAGCAGATGGACATCTATTCGTATTATAATAAATTTTTCTTCTTTTTCATTTTTTCTTCCAATGCTATCCTGTCTTAATTTATCTTCTATTTTTACAAGTGCTTAGTTGACGGATACAGTATTGCTTCTATTATGTAAGTATCCTGCTCATATGAAATATTGTTGTCAAAATAGAATCCATAGAAGCGAACCTACTCGTTTAAGATGCCTCTCTCTACCTAGTATAAGAACAATAATTTGATGCATGTTTCATATGGTCGTATTACACCGAACTAGGCTGAGCCTTATGCTATGATAACTATATTGATAAATATAGTCATATATTAGTAAATACATACATATAATAGATAAATTAATATCTATACTAATATTATAAAGCTGAAGAGTTTTTTTGTTTGTTTGAACGCGCTAATCTCAGGAACTACTGGTCCGATTTGAAAAAATCTTTCGGTGTTAGATAGCCCATTTATCGAGGAAGGCTATAGGCTATATATCATCACGTTAAGACCAAAAGGAGCGGAGCACCAATGAAGAATGTTTCAAAAACGGAGAAAATTTATTACTATTGGAGACGCAGACGAAGTTGCGCGGGTCAGCTAGTCTATAATAAACAATTATGCGTGTGGTGACGGATGAAGACTACGGAGTGTAACCTTATTCCTAGTTATGCTATGCTATATATGAAAACAGCACTGCAAAGAGAAGTGAAACTTGAAATAAACCCTATACCAACCCGTCTGTCCAGCGTTTTATAGTAGGACAAAACATCCTTACTAAGAGGAGGCCTATGTCCAGCAAGGGACTATTAAAGGCTGCCTATGATGATGATGCTAGTTGATATCAGGCCTAGCGGTGAGGATCACGAACTACTCTGCCAACAGGTCCATCAAGTCAGGTTTAACAAAAAATACCAATAATGACAGAATGACTGAACTGGTACCTACGCACTTGATACCTACAAATGCTTCACCTAAATTAATTCGTTATTAGTTTCACATATCCATGACTCATATGTTCCGGGTTCTATTCCCGTAGCAAATGTTTATTGTTTACTCAGCTACGCATAGTCTTAGAACATAATACATATTATGTAAACAAAAAAAGATTAATTTGGTGTTGAAACTTGACCAATCTGATTTTTACTGCTAAGAATTTTTATAGAACTAGCGGTTTCCCATATTTTCAAGCATTTTAATTTTTGAAGTGACCACTTCTTTATACGCGTTGGGCTGTTTTGAACAACAAACAAAATAATCATTTTTTGAGATGGGAAAAAAACAATTAAACTCTCGACACTGTTACCGATATCTCTGTATATAAGTTGTGTGCCACTGTTTTTTTTATATGGTATAGAGGGCAAACTAGCAGACAGGTTATCTGATGGTAAGTAGCCACCTGCCCCGAGAATCAAAAGGGCGGCTACGTACTTGACTCTTGAGTTGCAGGTGTCCGTGGGCGGCGGTAGTCACTTACCATCAGGTGACCCGTCTGCTCGTTTATCCCTCTATACCATAAAAAAGAGAATTAATAAGAAGATAAATTTTAAACTACAAATTTAAGTTAAAGTTCAGTCTAGTTATATTTACAAATTACGCAGGAAAACAGCACTGCAAAGAGAAGGGAAACTTAAAACAAACCCTATAACCCATCTGGTTAGCGTGGATTCAACGGATCAAAGATTTTAGTTCTGATCAGATTTTCATATTTTAATTATCAACTCGATAACATCAATATTCGATAATATTCGATGGATACTAAAATCATCTACGTTCGATTAATCGCACTAGATGATCACTGGCAACTCACATATAAATACATATATTAACACTAAAGCTACAAAACATGGTGTAGCAACAAAAAAAAAGTAGTGCATTTAGGTAGGTACAGGGAAAATCCCAAGGTAGCGCAACGTTGGATCAACAGTATTATAATAGCTAATTATGGGAATCAGCACGGAAGAATCAAGAAATTGTTAATATTATATAAATGATTAAATGTAATAAGTGTCAAGTTTGCACGGATGGCGTAGTGGTTTAAGCGGTCGCCACGCCGCTTCCTACTACGCCGAGTGTTGTGGGTTCAAACACCACATGGGACGACACTTTGTGTGATCCAAAATTGTTGTTCTGAGTTTGGGTGTTCTTTGTGTCCGTTTCATGTATGTTTGTGAAGTCCCCCGCGACACAGGATATTTACCTAATGCGGGATTTGTCTATTTAAAAAAAGGAAAAAAAAGTCGTTGGTTAGCGTTAAGTGGAGTAACTAGTGTGGTAAAGAATGATTATATGGAAAAGGTGTACTAATCTATACTAATATTATAAAGCTGAAGAGTTTGTTTGTTTGTTTGAACGCGCTAATCTCAGGAACTACTGGTCCGATTTAAAAAATTCTTTCAGTGTTAGATAGCCCATTTATCGAGGAAGGCTATAGACTATATATCATCACGCTAAGACCAATAGGAGCGGAGCACCAATGAAGAATGTTTCAAAAACGGAGAAAATTTATTACTATTGAGAGACGCAGACGAAGTTACGCGGGTCAGCTAGTACATATTATACAAGGCTGTAGAACAATGGAATGAAACAACTAAATGTGAACAAACAATAAAATTCATTTAAATGTTCAATCCTAACTATACCTAACATTTGGTTTGAGAAACCCCGACCAGACTGACCACAGAAAAACGGCATTTTTTCGTTGCATATCACCGAACGAGTGAGATCCCTCCACTCAAAGGGCGGCAATTGTAACTACTGAGTTGCAAGTGTCTATGGTCGCCGGTGGTCACTTATCATCAGGTCACTAGCCGGCTCGATTGCCAAATGTCAAAAGGATGCATTTTCATCGTGTTATATTTCAAGTAAAATACAAAATATAAATAAAAAAGTACCAAATAAATACTAAAAATAATAATAACAAAAAACACTTAGTAAAACTTTTTAACTTTAGTTTGTGATTTAGAATTAATGTAACAATATCGCGTTAGAATAATACTGTAAGGATATTGTAAGAAAATAAATAAATAATATTATAAATACGAAAGTCTGTTTAACTGTCTGTCTGTCATCTCTTCTCGCTTAAACCGCTAAACTGATGTAGATGAAATTTGAAATAGAGATAGTTCGAGCCTCGGGAAAGGACATAGGATAGTTTTTGCCCCAGATATCATCCTTTAAGGGGCTGAAAAGGGGGTGGAAGTTTGAATGGGAAATCCATAACCGCTAAACCGATTTAGATGAAATTTAGTATGGAGATAGGTTGATTCTTGAAGAAAGATACTTTTTACAGCAATAACTGACATACACGCGGGCGGAGCCGCGGGATTCTTCGAAAATCCGAGTCATTTTTGAATACGAGTTCCGACGCGGAACTAACGTGGCAGAAAAGGTTTGGAGGGAAGACTGCTAATGAACGCACCGTGAGTTTTCGGTTTAAACGCTTTCGTAATGGAAACTTCAGCTTGAAGAAGGAACCACGTGAAAAACCCCACAAGTGAATAACGCTGAATTGAAGGAGATGGTGAAAGCCGATCTGAGTCAACCTACCCAGGAATTAGCGGCATGGTTTAACGCTACCCTACCCACAATATTGTCTCATTTCCATCACATCAATCTGCTAAAAAAATCAGTCTGTGGAAAGAATTGTGTGTTGAAACAGTACGAGTTTAAATTTTTGAAAACAAATCGGCACCCCTAATATTTTTACCCCAACAGTAGCAGAAAATATTGTATCTGCTTAATGTTATTGAAATCTATATTCGAGCATATTCTCGGCAGTAAAAAGATTATTATTATTACACGTTTTTAGAGCATCTTGTATCATCACATCACATCAACAGCCTACAATAGTACACTGCTGGACATAGGCCTCTCCTTAGAAAGGAAGTTTTGGCCTACTATACCACGCTGGCAAACGGGTTGGTATAGTGTTTGTTGTTTTGCAGTGCTGTTGTCCTGCGTAGTTTGCTCGCTTAGTCGGCTTATGTGACACCCACGGGATGAATAGGGGTGTTGACATTCCATATTCTTAATCCGTCACCACACGGATCGAAGTACCTTGTATAGTAACCTAAAAATATTTTTGTAGAACAATTTGAGCTTGCTTAAGACTATTTATATTTGAATCTGTGACGAATCCAGTCTGCAAAGCAGATCAATAATTTTTTATCGTCGGAAACAAAGATGCACTTAGCTTACCTTCCTTTTCTTGAAGGACAAAGAAGTCCGCCGCCATACTGTCCTGAGGAACGTGGCAGGATTGCAGTATTGCTCCGAGGTGGGGCGGCGCGTGCGCACCTCAGTCATCACAGTCATCACTCACTATAGAGCGTTCATCTGTCCATCACTTCCCTACTGCACTTTAATTAATGTCACTATATGAGTCTTCACTTTATAAATATATATATTTTTTTTATTTATTAAAAAACTGGGAATCGGATTTTAGAATTTAATTAATTGGGAAACCGGAGTTTGTGTAATACAACATATTTAAAGTTAAAATTATCGTGGTAACTTCCGCATACAACGAATGTATACCAACGCCATCTAGTAAAAGCAACCAAATATCGTCCTACCTACTATTTGATTCTAAATTGCTCCTTGACGTAGACCTGGAGAAGTCACCCTGAGACCCTAGCTGGGGTATACGAGAAGAAACACGTGGCCCATTGACTGTTGTTAAGCTAATCCTTCTATTAAGTGAACGGTTAGCTTATACACTAATCCTTCACTTAATAGTAAGGATATCAGTTAAAATTTAGGCAACATTGTTATTTCATTAAACTCGTCACAAAGCTATTTGTAGTATAACTTTATGTTTTCTTATTTAATAGATTGTTCTAAATAAAATATAAGTAAATAACTAAGAAAAAATGAAATTAATGAGCTATTAATTAATCCGGCACGTAAAGTCGGTAATTAAAAAGAAGATGACCTAAGACCAAATAGGCCACTATTAAAACGAAATAAGACTGCATACGGAATGTCACTACCCCAATTCATCCCGTGGGTGTCGTAAGAGGCGACTAAGGGCGCAAAACAACGCAGGATACCAGCACTGCAAAAAGAAGGAAAACTTGATACAATCCCTATACCAACCCGTCTGGCCAGCGTGGTATAGTAGGCCAAAACCTCCTTTTTAAGGAGAGGCCTATGTCCAGCAGTGGACTATTAAAGGCTGTTGATGTGAAGACTGCAGATAAAAACAGTAAGTACTTTATGCTACAATACGCGGATTTAGACTAAGTTTAGACAGTGGGCGATGGCCGCACGTCGAACGCCCGAAGCATGTTTGTATAGTGTTGATAATAATTATGGCAAACGGTTTCAGGACGTTGATTGCGCGTAGTTGAAATTCAATGGTTATACGAGTAGTTTCATTGAAAAATGGGCGGAAACACAGATTAAATAAAAGAGCTCCTGATTACTCTACTAATTGTGTTCGTTTCCTGTATTTTTACAATAAATAAACTGCGTAGAATATATGATATAGTGTCATGGAATAATAATAATAATAAGCTCAGACATCTCACACACGACCGTCTGATCCCAAACTAGGTAGAGCCTGTTCTATGGTAACCAGACTGCTGATAAACATACTTATATATTTCGAAATACATACATATTATAGATAAATTACACCCAGACACAGAACAAACGATCGTGCTCATCACACAAATATTTGTTCTGGGTGGGAATCGAACCCACGACCTCCGGCTTAGCAGTCAGGGTTACTAAATACTAGACCAACAAGTCCGTCAATACAGGAATACATGTTATGTGAAAATTAGTTTACTTAAAAAAATATTTCATTTAAAAAAACAGCGTTGTCGCATTCGGACACACAACATCAAATGTTCGGTAAATCAACGACCTCAAAATATGTATAATTTGCTTGTGTGTATGGTTTACAAAATATGTATTATAATTTAAAACAGAATCAGTCGCAGACGAGGACTTCATGAAATACTTCGATATAGGAAACGAGATAGCTGATAAAATGAAAAGAAAGATTATATAGACGAAGAAGATACATGAACATTGAAGCAAATACTAAATAAAGAGTTAAATATAAATGAAATGCTTTAGACCGGTTATAACAGATACTGTGATACATCTATACGAAATCGAGAACGATAACAGTAAATCATCTCTCTAGTAATCTTATCTAGAATAAATATTATCTAGAATATTCGGATACAGTACTTAGATTTACTTTTATAAATCTCCACATATCTTCCTTCCCTCCACCACATATACCTCCAGCATTGCCTCTCCTTTGGTACCATTACCTTCCCTTTTTGTCAACTTTTCCTTCCAATATACTACCAATCTTACCATCGAATCTTATCTAATTCCGGGTTGTAGGCAATTACGTAAATAAGACTTAAAATGACAAATGTATGCATTTAATACGGCTCTGTCTACCTCTTCGGGGATATAAGCGTGATAAATCACTGAAATTGAAGTGGCGATGGACAGGGTGGGTACGCAGCACCAAGAACAGATGGCCGGAACAACGTAAGACATATACCGACAAGATGGACAGACCACAGAACAATATTTCTTTTTCTGTGGGACATGCGGTCCTGTGAAGATGCAAGCTAATTTCATACGATCTTCTTGAAAGCATCGAGGGAGGCTAGCTGAAGACATAACAGTTCAAATGATGACGTTGATAAAAGCAATAGAATAAGTGTAATAATATACAAAAAAATTGATAAGTACATAGCCGGCTTAACTTTAGATGCAGAGGATATGATTATCTCGGTCGCCCACACGCAGCCGTGAATGAGGATCAAGCCAGATAAGGCTGTTGATAACTAACGCAAATGGACAAAAACTAATGTAATCTGACGATTGTGTCAATTCGAGGGGAAATGTATGTGGGTACATTAATAATTGTGTATGTAAATAAGACAAAACGACTGATAAACGCGATGTGGAATTACAATAGACCGAATATGTCTGTTAGACTAGGGATATTGAATCGTATCCGTTTGGTTATCCGAAATAGACTTATTACTGAATGTCGAACCAAATCGGTTGTGGTTTCGATTAATGTTGGGTAGGGGTGTAGTCTAAAATAAGGAACCTAAAGACAGATTTATTTTTTATTTGTATAAAAGAGTTTTTTATTTCTTTTTTTATAGACCACTCCCGCATTAGGAATATATCCTGTGTCGCGGGGGACTTTACAAACATACATGAAACGGACACAAAGAACACCCAGACTCAGAACAACAGTTTGTGGATCACACAAAGTGTCGTCCCATGTGAGGTTTAAACCCACAACACTCGGCGTAGTAGGAAGCGGCGTGGCGACCGCTTAAACCACTACGCCATCCGTGCAGTCAGTTACGTGATAGGTTTTGGTTTAATTTATATACTTGTAACGACTGACTGATATATCAATGCAGAGCCTACATAGCTGGGGCCTCAAGTTAAAAATTTGGCAGCTGATACTTTTGTGTAATAAGCGCTCACTAAGAAGAGATTTTTGGAAAATTTACCTGTAAAGGGTTAATATTAGGAGAGAATGGTTGTATTAAAGTTCGTCGTTTTCAAAGTTGGAAACATGAAATAAGAATTCACGCGATCAAAGCCGCAGGCAATAGAATGAAAAATCAAGAAAAGGCAACATTAGGCTGTGCTCGTCAGAGTATCATTTACTATTTAGTATTTATTTTGCTAACTATTTGACAAAACAAAGATTGTTGCTATTGCGTGTGTGTTGATCTACTACTGTAATCTACATAAAAGACGATTTCAAATAATAAAAAAATAAAAATAAAAAAATGATATTTTGAATTTGATTTCCTTGACACGAATATTTACTCATGACACGAGTCACAACTAGAACAGGAATTGTTCTTAGTAAAAAAAAAGTACAAAAATTTAATAAAATGATCAATTTAGATAATATTATACCTTGATGGTTAAGTAACCTTTTTATAACGTGTTATGAATACGACCTGAAGGCCATGACATTAAGAAATTTGAACACAAAATAAGTGCCTTTGATTGCTTCGTCTGCGGTTATCTATTAATATTTAAATAAAATTAGCCAAATTAGCCAACAAATTATTATTAACGACTATTTATGAGCTTTTTATGATATAGGGGGGAGGGGGGGGGCAAAAAGTAAACGGGTTACCCGATGTTAAGTGACTGCCATCGCCGATGAACTCCTGCAACTCAAGAGTCACAGGTGAGTTGATTGATTCCCTTTGTTTCCCCCCCAGAAGAAGGGGGGGTGGGTTGGTTTTGGGGTATGATAATCCCAGTCACTCGGTTAAAAGCAATGAAAGTGAGTAACTACCATAGTTAAGGCTTAAAGGCGTAACATAATAAAAAACATACATTAGCATTTGTAATAAGGGTAATGAAGAATAAATTTATTAAGACGTGACAAGAGGCAGTAAGATTAGGCATCTAAGTACGAATGGCGTAGTGGTTTAATTGGTCGCCACGCCACTTACTACTACGCTGAGTATTGAGGGTCCGATCCCCACTTGGGACGACACTTTGTGTGATCCACAAATTGTTGTTCTGATTCTGGGTGTTCTTTGTGTCCGTTTCATGTATGTTTGTAAAGTCCCACGCGATACAGGATATATTCCTAATGCAAGAGTTGTCTTTAAAAAAAAAGTGTATTCAGAATACATCGATTTGATAACTGGACACAGAATTTCTGGGACAATAACAATTCAAAGCGCTCTCCCACGTTATTGTTTTCTGTATCTTTGTAAATGCATAATGAATTTTAAAAGTGTAACCAGAAATCCGTTCACAAATAGCGAAAATATCTCGTAACATACACAACAAAAATAAAAACTTCCGCCATTGTTAAACACGGCAAAATTGTCATCCCCACCACTTAGATGATTGGCGCTCCACCACTGTGCGCTTTTCAAGACACTTTTTGCCTCGCACAACCAATCTGTGGAACAAGTTATCGGCTGTTGTATTTCCGGACTGATACGACCTTCAAACCTTCAAGAAAAGAGCGTACTCCTTCCTCAAGGGCTGGCAACGCGCTTGTAACTGCAGAGTTGCAGTCGTTCATGGGCGCCGGTAGTCGCTTTATATCAGGTGACCCTTCTGCTCGATAGCCCCTATTCCATAAAAAAAAGAAAAGAAAAAAAACCAAACCAAACCTCTTTTCTTTAAAGTCAGTTAAACCGACCCATGTATTGTTATATCAGGTTTGTATTGATATGTAGAAAATAGTATTGTGTTATTCTCACGACATTGCAACTCGATACGTAAGCCGACACCGTACGAGGCAAATGTATTGTTTTATATGCACAATA